CAGTCGCACGCTGAAATAATGCTCTACTGCAGAAATCAGTGCGTGAATCGCTACTTTGGTGGAGTTACAGCTTTCAACGCCCTTCTATAATTTTTGGTTGTTGGATGGCATACAGCTCTGGGGTTGCTGAATCGCATGCAGTGTAGGGGAAAAAGACTCGGTTCTTTTCAGAATAGATCAAATTTACATGAAGCCCTTCTTTGCGCTCTGCGCACCCTTCCCTCTACGGCCCACCTTGTCACATTCCAAGGCTATTTTATAGATTTCCATACATATGACTCCTAACGAAAAACGAAAGCCCTGCAACATTACCCCTCTACTGCCCCCTTCTTCGGAAATCGGCCCAGATTTTTTGGAGGTTTAGAGGTAAATCAGCTGGAAGTTCGTCACCTGCGGTATATTGACGTCTTGAACATGGATATCAGTATTCACTTTGGTTGGAAACCTTGGCGCTCCCACCAACGGTCTTGCGATAAAACTCCTCCAAACACAAGTGTACTGGGAACTGGTCCCAAGCGGGATTGTGACCACCTGGAGGCGAATATCACAATTATGAAAGCTGCCGTCAAAACTGGTCTTGTGGCGCAAACAGAGGGTGTTCTCGCATGAAGACGTTGCGCAGGTTGCTCGCTATCCCGTGGGAGGAGATATTTAGCCCCACCTCCCTCTACGCAAAAATCCCCCCCCCTCTACGCAAAAATATCACGCAGGCTGGGTGTTGGCCAAAATGAGTAGAAATCTTGGTCAAAATATAACCAGAACTTCGAAGAGCGAGCTGTGAAGAGTAAAAAGGGGTCACGAGAAACTTACTGCTGTTACATTGTTACTGTCCACGAATCGTCTGTTTGATGTGTTTCCAGCCGGTCGTAGATTATTTTGACGTAACAAAAAAGGCACTGTTCGGCTTAGGAAAGGGGAGGGGGTTACTTTGCACACTTCTTAGTTTTTGCTGCAATTTCCTGGTCCCTGTCAAATTGCACGTCCAATCTAAATGAGAGCAGTAGACTCTTCTCAAGTGTCAACCAAGGTAGCGCTATTGTATGGCTTCACAGAAATTTACATCTCCACAGGAGGCATCGGCAGTGATCGATGGCAACCGGCCAAATACCCCACCCATCACGTCGACTGCGCCACTGAAGTGCCTCCATTGCAGTCAACCCCCCCCCCATTAGAGCTGGTGCAATTTCGTAGCTTATCACATCATTCGTGTCATCATACAATCGCGTTCTCTTTCCTAAGACGAACTGCGATTATGACTTTGGTTATAGTACCATCGCCAGGTTCTTTTACCGGGGTAATCGTATGGTGCGCTCTTGCAATTAACAGAACAATGTATGACATCTAGCTGCATCTCCCTCATTTGTTCAGTATAGTTATAGTGTTCGTGCGAGATCTTGTTATAGTGGTCCCGCTTTCTTCTCCTTCTTTTCGATGAGGACAGAATCATTACGTTCTTGCAGGGGGTTCCGTTGTTTATTTTCTTCTTTCAGGGAAAAAGATACCTTTATTCAGGGCAGCTATTATGCGGCTGATTCTGCTAATCATTGCCCTCATCGGGATTGCCGCTGCATTTCAGGTCCGTGCCAAAATCATCTTACATTTTAGAGAATTTACCTCTCCTTTCATTCTTACAGTGCTCTTCGGACACCATCCTAAGAATGGCGACAGACAAGCGATTGAAGCAGCTTGATAAGGACTGTAAGCTAGCAAGCACCAACGAACCAGAGTGCGCCAACAAAAACGATGTGGAAAACGCTTGGAAAGAGTTCACAAAGCTCTCAGACCGTTACAAAGAAGTAAGGAACCTTCTGGCACTTGCAATTTCTTTATTCGCGAACTTTGTGGGACTTCTTGCTCCTGCATATTCCTGAAATATCTTTTTCAATAAATGACGTTGCCTAGCCACCTAACGATATAACTATTGTTCACAAAATTGTGAAAAAAAAACAATCATGGAAGTACCGTACCTATCTATTACCTATCTCCCAGTGTCTTACCGACTATTCCAAACCCTTGAGATGCGGTAGGCGTGGCTGCGTACTTCATTGGAACACGACTGCGTTAGCAATTACGGTGATGCTTTCGGTTAGGGACATTGTAATCCTTCCTTCGTCCAACACAAGGCAATAAGACAGTTAACGTTCATGAAGGTGGCCGTTCGAAATATCCCACGATTAACCCATCCTACGCAATACTCACCGAAGTGAGCAGCCACGCCACGCCACGTCTGAGGAATATGGAGCGCACCGTTCCTACCGTTGCGATCAGTCAAGGGAGTACTTGAGGCACAGAATGAGCTCACTTGCGGTGTTCTGTCCCTTCGGAAGATTTCAACCTGAATCAATCCCTAACCGGTCATTATTGGTAGAAAACACGGGCTGGGGAGGGCTCATCTCACATTACTTGACACCGCCAGTCGGACTCTGCTATAAGTTCCTTGTTATTCCAGCAGGAAGTGCGACCACGAGCATTCTTGTATGATATGAGCTATGCAGGAAAAGTTCCTTCGTGGAATAATGTTTCAAAGGTTTTGAATAGGTGAATGAGGCCCACGACCTTCTGACTAGATGTTCAGAGAAAGAATAGTTTGGTGTGTAGTGTAATATGATAGGGTGAAGAATAGCGATATTCTTGTGGATAGTTTTCAGCAGGTTAGAAGGCGCTTCCCGCCATGAAATAATGATATGACCTCTCAAATATGTCAGATGGTCCGGAGGGAGGTCCTGGAGGGCGTGCAACCTTTAAAAAGTGAAAACTGGCAAGAACGCCATTGAAAGCTGACCACTCAGGCGTATGGGCACCGCTTATTAGGCTCATGCCGATCCCCACTGTTGCTAGCTACTAGCTAGGCCACTTTGCTAGCTCCCGGTCATCCTTAATGGGAGATGTGAGGTGATAAGACAAATGAGCTGATATCATTTATGATGAAGGCAAGTGAAAACTCGGCAACAACTAACCTCTCTCCTTTGGCATGCACGTACCAAATGGGAGCGGCGAGCAGTCCTATACAGGGCGTTTCGGAATGCTTTTCTGCTTCTCTTCTCCAGTAATCAGTTACCTAGAACTTTGTCATTGGTATTTGAGCTTTATTTTCCAAGCCAGCCTCTCATCAGTCGCTCACTGTTGAGATCGTTCTAGTAACACGATGCAGCGGATTGATCAATTTCTTTGGAAAATCAGAAATTCATTTAGTGAATTTCACAAGTACCCTGAACAAGCGAATCGAGATACAGCATTGCGATGAGTGTATTGCCGGTGCCAACAGCAGACCGTTTCTCTTTAAATGTTTCTCCTTTGGCACGGTCCACCAGACAACGCGGAAATGTTATTGCTCGTACGCCGATGCACTTCCTTCCGCCACTGACTCACATAAACCGCTCAATCCTTAATGAAACTGAGTACAGCATGTTCTTATTCAAAGATCTAAGGCCATCTTTCGCGAAAAGCTCGGAAACTGAAAGCAGTAAATAAGATTATAGGCTGCACTTCCATTTGCCGAAAGTTGAAAATCATACTTCGAAGAGGAAAAGGAAGGGCTCTGCTGTCTCCAGCCTCGAAGAATCACAGATCGCGTGGCGTGCATGCGCAGTCGTATGTGCGGCGTTGACTTCCTTTCAGCGGCATTCCAGCAACTCTTTTGTTTCACTAACTATGCTATGAAAAGAAGTTTTCGGGTAAAAAAGTCGCATATTCAATTGAAAATCAAAAAGAGAGGTGAACATCTGGAAAATAATGCAAACATATGTGTTCATGCTGTTCCCATTGTGAGGGGGAGAAGTAATTAAATGCGAAAATTAGTTCATATGCAAGAGAACGGAAAGGTTGACTGAACGGGGTGTTCATCCAATGGAAAGAAGCACAACGGTAGGCCGTGTGGTCCCGCCCGTCGCTGGAGATTTCCCATATCTCCGTTGACATGAACAATAACAGTTGTGCCCCTAATCCTGTTCGGTGGTGCCTCCGTCTACTAGGCGCAACAAACGTGGTTTCCAACCCATCGACTAGAACCACAGCAAGAACCATGTGATTTCAGGCCGTGGCAAAGTGCAGGACAACAGCTTTCGGTTCAAAGAGGCGATATCGTGAGTTATACTACTCATTTGTCAAACTGCTTTGTGATCTTCCCGAGTCACAACATAGATTCCTTCTTTGAAAGGCGCAGGCGCCTCGTTTCAAGACTACAGCTACTTCTCTAATAGTACTTGGACGCTGATAATCTTGAATGGGGGGGGGTCCCAAAAGACGTTTCAGGTCCTTATCAAATCAACTTAAACTTTGGAGAACTTACCTCTCCTTTCATTCTTACAGTGGCAACAAATAGAAGTACCGCACACCGAACTGGGTAGCGACCCGCAGATAGGAGCCTTCCAAATGATTCCAGTTACTAGCACCTGCGTTTGACCATAAAATGCCTTACTAGCGCAACCCCGATGTACAGCTCAGTGTTTTCGTCGTTCTGAATATTGGTGCAAGGTGAGGGACTCTAGAGTTACGGGGGACTCCCACCGGTTCCACCCTAGTAGTTAATTTCGCACCTTGCGCTTGTAGCGATTTGCCATGGCCATTCCTTCACCCCAGGTCATAATAGCGATAAAACCACAGCTGCAAACGCTGAGTATTTTGGTTTTTCTTGTTTCTTCGCATCCCAACGCGCCTTATTTCCATCACTAGTGAAACTGGTGAATGCAAGGCAAGCGCCAGAAGAATGAGAGAGCCAGCGTAGCTCTGTGAGCAACCCTAGCTTTCAAATTTGCAAAGACAGCCCCTATCGTAAAACTCTTTATGAGACCAAAGTTGACCAACGACGTTGCATTTCTTGCAGATTTTCAAACACACAACTGAGCGTACGAGACACCTCATTAGCAAGTATGCAGCTTCAAGGATGTGCTGATATCCCCAGTTCTATTTAATTTGATTGACAGGGGTCACAAAAACTTATATCTCGCGTATCCGACCCTAATTCTGACTAGTACTGTTCATCAAAGTCTAGACTGACAGCAATGATCCGTCAAATGTGGATGTGGATGAGCTTTGTGTCGTTATGGAGATGCAATAAAGTGAGTGAGAATTGGGCATGTCGTCCAACACAAGGTCTATGTAATGACGCAGGCAGCTGTCTGCTGATTATGATCGAGTTGAGCACCCTGCCCGCAATGTGCATATATTCACCAATCAACCCCCCGTGGCAGCTTTTTCCAATTTCTTTATAGTATGCCATTGCACTATATTCTCATTCTAAGAACGCTGTCCCAATCATAGAGTCTTTAAGTATTAAAGGATTGCACGCCTTTGAAGATAAAACTGTACACTCTTTGGCCGTGGATACGCTCCGGGCTGTTTATCGACGGGGGAGGCATTCTGTAATATATACATTGCCTTCACTGGGTTTCGGTTTGCACAATCTCACTCTTGGTAAGACATTCTAAGGTTCGCATCCGTAGAGTGCGTGCCACCCATCGCAGAAGCACACAATAACTGGGCTGCAAGGTAGTGTGCAGCGTACGTCTTCATACTCCGCCCGCGCTGTGGCTTTTCCAGTTAGGCACTCAGTCATAGCCAGAGATATACACTCCCTATCCCTGAGTCAGAGTAGGCGTGGCATTTGAACATGGCACGGAACTGGTTACTCGTGGAATATTTCAGTCTGAGACAACTGTCATCTTGCTTCTAATGTTGAAGCAAGATAGGAACACACACTTTGTGTCTCATAGATGAAACTTCTTAACCAGAAGCAATAGCCACATTCAGTTTACAGTTGAAAGCAGTGCGAGCACGCCTACACGAATCATCAGGGATTTCGAGTATACTTGTCAGGCTCCCATCACTTTTGTTCTTCTCTAACGGTAAGTGTTGTGTCGCTTTCGGAACATTAGAATTAGGCGCAGGGCTGCACCTTATAGATAGCGCAGGCAGGTACTGCTACCTTTCAACCATGTTCACTTCACTTTCGAGCGAAAGTGGGCCGCTACTGCAGTTGCAACACCGATTCGCTTCCTAAACTGGTGGTATGCGTTCCGACGCACCGCGTTTCGATAAAGTTTCGATTGGAAAAATGACCGAAGCGAATGAGGATGAAAAACAAGCCGATTGCGCAAATTATTTTCGCTATTAATGGGACTGCAGCTACTGCTAATAGATGTTTGCCCACATATAGGAGAAGTACAGTGAAAATACAAAAGGCAGCCATTAGAAATCTATTTTATAGTCAAAAGTAAAACTTCGCAAGCACTTCGCTAGAACTAATCACTTTTTCTAGGTAAGCATGATACCACGAGCTGACAATACCATGGCAGGGAAGGGAGACAAACAATTCGAGGAATGCGGTAAGTCGAAAACTGACAATAAGTTACCCAGACAGTCGCAGTAGGCGTAACACACAGGAATCGTTCAGCAATTTAGATGACAAGAGTTTTTAGTGCTGTCCTTTATGAAAGCTTTGGTGTCCAAGAAGCTAAAAGATCTTGCAGAACTATAGGTATATCTTTAACGAGCCTTTCACGAGCCATCTACTTACAGGCCCAAAAGAGAGGTATCAAAACAGGTTTGACCATTATACTTCTACGAGTTCAAACTCTTCCGAAGCTCATGGTCACTCCAAAAAGCTCGAGACAGCAATAAACCATGGGAACAAGGAGAACAACACTGAAGCAAGAAAAAGAACTCACAAGTGAGTTAACAATCCCAGGCCGGCTTCAGATGTGACGAACGGGAGGGGAGTTGCGAACCTTTTCCTGCAGTGATGACTGTTAGCGCTTTTGTGCAACCAGCTCGACAGTACTAGTCGTAATGAAAGACAGGGAAGCCAAAGGAACTTGACCTATTCTCTCCACACGAAGAAAAGCATCAGCGGAGTAGTCATTAGCTGTCGAAGTCGCTGCTTCACTGTAACAGTGGCTGTCCCATCCTTAGCCCTATTACAATGTGCGTTGAAGGCATGTTCCGCGCTAGAAACAGTGATTTGTATGGCCTATCTACCAATGTCATAACACAAAAGAGGAAGAAAAAAAGCACCAAAAGTACACCCAAGATGTCTTATATAGAGCCCGATGCTGAAGAGCGTTTGTACGTGCATAAGGCGAAGGAAGGGGTGGTCTTCTTCCGTGTCATTTGCAACTGTTTCTCCTTATCACGTTACTCTCATCATCCGAAATGGAAACATTTAGTTGAGGAATAACCGCACCAATAACAATGAACAATGAGGGTAGGGCGTAGACGTAGCCAGTGGGCGGAGCCATGGTTCCGCAGCGGGTGGGCGGCTCTTTAGTCACGTACTTTTAGCTGCAAAAGTATGCAGTATATCCTCCATGCTTGCAAGCAGGTCCATTAATCAGCGGTTTCAAAGAAGACGCTTGAACATCAAATGGACGGGCATGCCTTGAAAATGAGCTCATTACGAAAAACGAACAATCGTCCAATGGTTTAGCCGCGACGAGGTATGTGTGTCATTACACGAAGAAAAACTGGTAGTGCTTGTGCTGAGTGATTTAAAGGCAGTTGGCACGATAAATCGCTATACAGGTGTAGGATTTGTACAACTGGCTTAACAGAATTCCGTGACCTCGGACAGGCGCTGCGTGAAGCCTTTTCCAAGGAGGGTACCTCTATAACGCCCTATTGAGCAACAACTTTACGTCCCAAACGCCTTCCTTGCCCGCCCGCCTACTTTTGGACGTATAGGATCCCTCCACGAGGACGTGCCGCTTTGGACCGTTTTCGTGGTGGGATCCTACGTGTAATGTGGCGTGACGTAGGAAAAAATTCCTTCTTCCAGTAGTGCGCATTTTGGTTTCTTATTTTTTTAGTACTATGTAGACATTTGAAGTTTATTTGATCTCTGATGTCTCTATGTCGATTAAGATTTTATTTCTTATTTTCAAAAGCAGAAGAAAT